TTTCCTTACTATGATAGCATTTTCAATGCTGTCTACTACTTGCAGTCAATTATCCCAGCCACTATCACACAGAACATTAATACAAAACAAGCAAGGCAACTGTATATAAAGCAATATAATCAGGAAGAAATAAAATATAAGTCCTCCTTGTAAACTTGAAATAACACACTCCTAAATGCTGGCTTTTATCTTTATAGTATTAAGTGATTTTCATGAAAACTAAGCAAGCAATAAGATCATTATTTAAAACAAAAAGAAGAAAACCAATCATATTTTTATGACATTCATTAATACTTCTTCTAAGGTCTCAACTACTCATGCAACTACCAGCATAGGTTGCTACAGGCAGACGTAATCGAACCCAGACTAATCAAAGTCTCAAATTACTAGTACTTGCATAAGTCTTCAAATGTCCACAGCCACAATATATCTCAGCATTTTGTTTTCCTAAAATACTCACATGTTCATTTTGGTACCTAAACACAGATATCTCAAACCAAAGTTTTAAATCCTGTTATCATTATGCTTACATTAAGAAACACATGCACAAACAGGATACACTAAATGTACAACATTAGAACCGGATGCTATTTAAAGCTATTCTGGCTACCAGCCTGTTCTCTAACTTCACCTTGAGAGAAATGGCACACTGAACTCTCTAGTTGGAACAACCACTTCCTCCAGACCCACATCCTTCTCCTGAGAAAGCACTGCTGCCACCTGTGTAGATTAGGTTTTAGATGGAAAATCCTCCACTTTTTTGTTTTCCTGTATCAAGGAATGCAACATAATTATGTTCAGATTTGACCTGGCAAAGCCTGGACAGTTATTCACCTTAATGACAAGAGTTTTGGGGGCCCTTGTTTTTCCTTTGTTTTTCAAACACTTTTGTTCCTCCAACCAGTCCCTTCCCATTGCTCAGTATGTAAACTGTGTTCCTTCCAGGCATGTGGCAAGTGTTCACATAAACAGGTGGTGACAACGCTAATCTCCTCAACGGCTTTGAAAACTGTATTGTTTGTCCATATATGAATAAAGTTACTGCAGTTTGTAGAGGCCACTCATAAAAAATGTATCTTACAGGAAATAACTACATCCACTTTCATCTCACAACTGTGAAGAGTTATCAGCTGGTTGGGTTTTTTTCCATGAAGACTTAGCAGAGTAATTTATAAAGGCACTCCCTACGCTGTCTAGCCAAGGGCTGACTGAAGTGCTTACAAGCCTTTTGCTCTGCAACATTTTGTATTCACAGGTATCTCCATCATACCAGAAGGGTAACTTTAATTACCAGAAGTTTGATCAACATATCTTTTACTTGGATGAAAAATGTTTTGCTCTTTATGCCTAAAAACTAAATTCACAAACTTCAGCTAGCAAAAATACTTTAGTTTGAAAAATACTCTTATAATAACACGATTTAAACTTAACAGACAGCCCTCATTCTTGCATCCTGAAAATGTCAGTGGAGTCCCCTTACCAAAGTATTGAGGACTCACAGCTGCAAAGATGAAAATTAAACCACGACAACCAAACAATATCTCTGTATGGTTACTGCCCTATAAGCCATGACTTTATGGCACTCCCTCAAATTCAACTTGGCTCATGTCAGCTGTTTTCAACTACACAGAATTTTAGGTCGAAACTTAGAACACATTTTGAAAAATTTTATCTTAATAAGTATACAAGATCTATTTTTTATGAAAAGTTAACACATGTACTAACACCACTCCACACAACCACTTAGACTCTGTGCTACTGGGTTTTTGTACGGTAACAATCTCTTTTTATAATTCCAAGATATTTTACCAGTCCTTTCAAGTCACAATAGTGAACTTTTTAAATTAAAAAATGGACAATTGTCTATACATTTATAGTTCAAAACATATTCTACTCTCAGTTTACACAGCAATTTCTAATCTCCAACTTATATATAGGACAGAAAGGCACTTCCTACAACCACTGTGTTTTCTCCTTCAAAATATAATCACTTTGCCTGGCCCTTAACTCTGCTTCCTTTACTATTAATCCTGCCACAAAGATGACAAACCTAACAAGGTACTCTGTTCTTTTTAGCTGCAAATAATGAGATTCAGAAAACAAATATGTAACAGAAAGTAAGCTGCCTCAATTTCTTCCAATTCCAATAAAGGGATTCCTCATTTACATTCAAGACACAGAGTCTTTATGTGTTCCTACTACCACCACCTCACTTCCAGTTCAGCTGCTTTCCTCACATTTCAACTGCAACTTTATTTCCCCAACAACTCAAGAGAGTTTAAATTTACATAACCAAAGTGAAAACTGGAAATGTGACATGAACCTAGCTGCTGTTCAATATCCTAACAAAATCTTCCAAATAATGAAACTCCATTTTTCGGGCTACTTTAATTCTACTTCAAGCTCAGTCTTACAAAAGGACAGGAGGAAAGCCAATAACCCCACTTGGCAGCTCAACTGACCAATTTAACCAACCCAAGATTAGAACTGATTGTTTAGGCAGGCTTTTTGTTGTTGTTTGGGGTTTTTTTTCCTCCTCCTAGAAAACACTGCAACATTTTTACTCATTTACTCTTTTAAGTAACAGCTAGAGCTTTGCTAATATTCTCTGCAAGTGACAGGAAAAAGGAAGCATTTGTCATTGTAAATTCCGTAAAGGGAAAATATTTTGTCTGCTCCTGAGTGCACCAAACAAAGTTTTTTCCTTGTTCATTGATCTCTGCGCCCTTTGTGTTCCAGTGAAAAAAAAGTGCCTCTTGTTCAAACAAAGGGAAGCACCGGAGATCTCTTAATAGACCCTCTCCTTATAGAAGAGAGGATCATGCACAGAGTCTGAATTCCAAGAGCTCTTCTCAATGCCAAACACCCACAAGAGATGCCAGAACATTTTCCAGTGTATGTTAGAGCCCAGACTGAACCAGATAACCTTCACATGTAAATATGGAAATAAGAATGCCAGTTGTTGAATATGCTCTAAGAGTTTTTTGACAAGCATGTCCTTCTACTGCTTTAAGATTTTCAGATGTTGCTAGACTGAGCTCAGTGCAACTTCCCTGTTATCAGAAATTATCAGCATCAGAAGTCATCACTGCACCACTTACGAGCTCACCAGCTGTAGCATCCCTCAACCCACACATAAATGTGGAAGTTGATTATTAATCCAGCTGGCAGGGTCTTCCAAAACTGCAAGATTACTACACAAGCACCCATTTGTAACTACACTAGGCAGACTACTGTGTGTAAGCCTACTGTTCTAATTTGTCATTTTGTTTTCATCGGGATTTTTTCCTGGGAACAATAAAACTCAGTCCTTTTTCCACGATAAAACCCACTAAGGCCAGCACCCTGACAAGGAGTTTCACATTCAATGGCTCTCATGTGAAGCAGGTTGCCTCGGGAGCATCAAGCCCTTCGGAGGGGACACAGCCCCCTGTTCGGACCCTCTATCCACGCAAACGCAGCTGCCAGCCCTGCTTCAAGGATGCCTGCTACAAATCACACCTCCTCCTTCACCCCGTGAAACCAAACACACTGAGCAGCACCACCGACCGCAAGCAGCACTGATACGCCGTTTCCCACTTCCCTCGCGGACTTTCCTTAAAAACCCAGTGAACACAGCTTTTACTACTATTATTACTACTGCCATCATTATTTTTCACACACGAAATCGGCCAACCCCCTCATCTTTCCTGCGGTGAGTCTGCATTTCCCTTGCTCGCCGCTCCTTTTTAGGCATCCAAAAGGAGCAAGTGCCCGGCCCGGCCGCTCCGCCCGGAGCGATGGCCGGGGGCTGCCCCGGGGGGCGCGGAGCCGCCGGCGGAGCGCACGGAGGGGAGGAGCCGCCGCCGCTCGGGGGAGGGCAGCCGGCACCGGGGGGAGGCTCTGTAGCCGCCGCCGCCCAGGCTGCCGGCAGGGCTCCGTCCCCGCCGCCGGCGGTCCGTGCGGCCCGGGCAGTCCGGCCTTCCCCCGCTAACCCCCGGGGGAGAGTGTCTCGGCGGCGGGCGCAGCTGCCCTCCCCGCCCGGTTGCGTGCCGAGAGTAAACACCGAGGGAGAAGGCAGCCTCCATTTTTTTTATCCCGGCAGCCTGTCAACAGGCTCCCCCCCTTCCCCTCCCGATCCTCCACGCCGAGCCCGGCTTCCCAGCCCGGCAGCGCCCGAGAGTCGCTGCTTCCCCGCCTCAGCCGAGGCAGCGACACAAATTAACACAGGCTTCGCTTTTTGTCTGCCTCTTTCTGTTCTCCTTAGAACATGCACTTTCCATGCCGCTTCTCCCATCCCTGCCCTGTGCCGCCACCCAGCAGCACAGCACAGCACCGGAGGAGCGCTGCCTTTTATAGCGGTGTCATCCTTGCCTGCTCGCCGGCGTCCCCGGGGGGCCCGGCCGGCGCAACCGGCTCCCCGCAGCCCTGCGGCCCCGCTCACCCTACCCGCCCCTCAGACACCCTGGGCTTCCCGGATCGGAGCAGCTTTCCCACCCGCCTCCCGCCCCGCAACCCCCGGCAGGACATTTTCGGGGGACTCGGGTCCGCCTGGCGCTGGGTGGTGCCGCCCGGCCCCGGTGACGCGCCCGCTACCGGGCCGGCATGGGAGGCAGAATCGCACCTGTCACCGGCGACACCGCCCCGGGGTGGCAGCAGCCCCGCACCCTGCCGGCCGGGCCGCTCCGCCGCCGCCCCCGTTTTCACGCCTCGGTTCTGCCGGCGAGGGTGGCGTCCCGCCCGCGAGTTGCCGTGCCTAAGCCCCGCTGTCCCCAGCACGGGACGAGGGGGCTCGGGTCTGTTCCCCGCCGCCTCCCCGAGGAACGGACGGGCAGTGCCGAGGCGGCCCCAGCGGCGAGAGGCGGGCGAGTCTTCCCCGAGGCCACCTGACAAAGCCGGCTGCCCTCTCCTCCTTTCCCGGCTCCAGGGGAAAGACGTCGCTTGCCCAGGGCCACCTTTCGCCTCTACCTCCAGCCGCGGTCTCGCGGTCCTCTGTTCCCCCAGGACAAGAGCGCACTCACCGGATCGGAAGAACGCCGCGATGTCCGCCGAGTCCTTGGCCGCCTCCTCTGCCCCTTCCCCCGCGCCGCTGCCGGCCGTGGTGGCGGCGGAGGTGGCGGTAGCGGCGCTGCTCATGGCTGCTGCTGCTGCTGCGTGTGCCGGCGGCGGTGGCTCCACCGGGCGAGACCCACCGCCGACCCCGCCGCCCCCTCCGCGGATCCCGGCTTCACCTCCGGGCGGGAGCGGCCGTCAGGGCGGCAGCCGGAGCGGGCGAGCGATGCGGGGCGGCGGCGGGCGGCCGCAGCGAGCGCAGGGACATGAAGGTATGTGCGGAATGGCAGCTCCGGGAGCGCCCACCCCCCGCAGCCACCTAGGAGGCGGCGTGTGCATGCAGGGAGTCCGGGCGGGCGGGCGGGCGGCAGCCGGAGCGCAGACAATCGCAGGAGGAGGAGAAGGAGGAGGAGGAGGGCGACGACGACGACGGCATGGGAAGGGCCAGCGGTCCGCGCAGTGAGCAGCCAGTGGGCGGAGAAAAAAAGGAACGTTTCCAACCTTTTTTTTTCCTCCTTTTCTCCTTTTTTTAATTTTTTTCTTTTGTTTTTTTTTTTTTAAGAAGGAGAGAGGAGCGATCCGGAGGAGCAGCAGCTGCCCTAGCCACCGCGGTGCCAGTGGCCGCAGCAACCGCCGTCCTCCATCTTGACTGGGAGGAGGAGGAGGGTGGGAAGGGGGAGTCGGGAAAGGAAGCGAGTCCCCGCCCGAGGAACAAGGGCGGTGGAGCCGGGAGCCGGGGGAGCTCGGGAGTCTCCGGCAGCGTCCGGCCCCGCTCGGGATGGGGCGGGGCCGGGCGGCGCAGGACGTCAGCGCTCCCGCGGGGCCCGTGCGCCCTGCCTGGGCCGGGGCTTCCCGGCGGCGCCGCCGCCCTCCGGGAGCCGGGGGTGTGCTCTTCGGCTTTGGGGCTTCTTTTTGTTGGGTTGGCGGTTTTTTTGGTGCTTCCGGCTGGCCTTCGCCCTACTCCCAGCTCGCCGGTGTGCGGAGGTCGGAGTGGAGGTCCGGAAAAAAAAACAAAAATAAAACACCAACTAAGCAAATCCAGTCCGTCCGCGCCTCCCCGGGGCGGGGGCGAGCGGCGGGAGCGTGGGAAGCGGCGCGTGCCCCGTGCTCCTCCCTGCCGCCCCCCGGGCGCCGCCGGCCTCTGCGGGGCCGTGCTCGGGAAGGGACCCTGCCCAAGGTCGGAAGGAGCCTGGCTTACCTGTGGAAGGCCCAGGGAAAAAGGGATGCGCAGATTTATCTTAGAAGGCGCCTTTAAAAGGTTTCCGTCACATTGCTGTCTGTATTGTGGATATTTTTTCTTCTGTTATCACGGAGACACTTCAAAAGATCTTATGCTGTAGCTCGGTTCAATTAATATCAAATAAGCAAACAGCTCACGATAAGGAGGTTATAATGTGCCCCTTCACTGTCCTGATCTTCATGCTAAGGCAGTATTTTGTGTCCAGGTGAGGTTGAGGAGTGTGTATCAGAGCAGGAATCACAGCAGTTGCACGGATTGATGAATTTGAGCAACACATCTCAATCGCTTGTGGTAAATGGTAAGTCGTTAGCACACTTGAAATGCAGAAGTACAGCTTCAGGAATTAAACTCCTGAAGCTTTGGTAAGTGTTAGAAGGATGGTAAGTGCAAGAGAAATGTGGTTCGTACAATCATAGAATATCCTGAGTTGGAAGTTAGTTGCAAGGATCATCCTAGGATCCTGCGCAGGACCAGTGCGAGAATCCCATGTGCCTGAGAACATTGTCCAAACACTTCTTCAGCTTCAGCAGGCTGTGGGTTATGAACACTTCCCTGGGAAGCATAGTGCCCAACCAGCCTCTGAGAGAAGAACCTTTTCCTAATGCCCAACCTAAACCTCCCTTGGCAGAGCTTCATGTCCTTCCCTCGGCTCCTGTGGGAATCCTGACAGGTTCTGTTAGGTTATCAGTCAGATGATGAGGAAGTCATCTGCAAGGTTTCCAAGGTTTGTATTTACCTGAAGTTGTATAGCTTGATGAAAAAGCTTTTGTGCAACCATGCCTGCCTTAATTTCTCTTAGAAGACATTTGTTTGACTGAAAAGATTTTTTTTTTAATGTTTTTCTTTCAGACAGCAGGCTCAGGAAAGAGTTCCAAATTAGCATCCCGCTGGCAAAAGTGGTTGCAACATTAATTTCTTTCTAACTGGCACCATCCACTAGCAAAAAGCATTAATGGAAAAAATGCTGATGTTCCCTAGCAAGCAGTGAGTTGACCTAGGGGTAGGAATGGAATACTGTATATCTGCCCAGAAAAAAAAACCAATCTGCGTAAGAATATGATAAAATTGGGTAAGTGCATGGAAGGTGTTAATATAATGAGTAAAGAAAAGAACAGGAATCCATCATTCCAGCTTTCAGTGACTAGAAAGCAAGAAGTGCTTTGAGAGATTACTTTTGTTTGCAAATTTGAAAAAAGACATCATATATGCTGTGCAACTCTGAAAAAAGCTTTAGAAGGCCTTTCATTAGTTGTTGAACACTCTGACTTTCTGTCTCAGTTAGTTGCACACTCTACAAATTCTAAGTGGGCACTAAAAGGCAAGATTGTTTTGAACACTTTTGAAGGATTTGTGACTCAAGTTTGTCCCTTCCTTTGTCCCCTCCATCTGCTGAATTGCAAGAGATGCTGGGTTTGCTTTTTTCTTAGTACATGGATGCCCTGAGCCATGTCCCCTACTACAGGAGCCTTTCATCATTGTGAAAGTGATTGAGAAGAAGCTGTAATCAGCAACGAAGGTGGCCCTTACAGAAAATCCTTCAAGAGCCAAAAATATCCTTCGCACAATTCATAAGATTATAGTAATGCATAGGGTTCATGCTAATGTTCAGAATGCAATATTTATTGAAGGGTAAAGAAAGAGACAAATATAGAAAAATGACATTATGGCAAAGTTACTTAACACACTTATAAAACAAAGATTTAATTCACAGTTATGCATCTTAGGTATAAAATACCAGATTTAATATTTTGACATTAGGAAATTAAGTTTCTGAGTCTGGTTCTTAGTCATTTTAGGCTTCAAACAAAAACAATACAGGTATGAATTGTCTATATGGAGAATGTCCCACATTGGAAATTTGTGTGAATTTGAAAGCCTGTCATTAGGGAATAGCCATATTCTCCTCAACTCCTGCATTGCTTACCTCAGTTTTTGTCAGCCTGCAAGTGTTTTTGCACCAACTGCAATGGTAAATGTAGGAACGGAAAAAATATTCATGGTGTAAAACATACTTTAGCAGTAATGTGACCTGTGAAATACCAATAGTGTTAAGGCACAGAGTCAAGTTAGGGTTTTAGATTGTATACTAGGAGTTTTAAATATTAATGATGTTCAAGTTCTGTGCTTAATTTCTCTATTTTATATATGTATATAAAGCATTTAATTTTATGTAAGCATATTGTTCAAAAATATTTATACCCCAATAAAATAAATGCCCAAAGAGAAGTGTTGTTTCATTTGAATGCCCTTTATTTTTACTTTGTTGTGTCTAACTGTGGTTGAATGGTCACTCCAAAATCAGAATGCCAAATACAAAAACTTTATTCTTGTCAAAGAGGTGTCTTGTGAGGGAAGAAGCTTGCCCAGAGCCTAGCCATGTGTATCCAGGCTGAGAAGTGTCACATGTCACTTCATGTTTCATCCCTAAAGGAATTTGCAGACTTGATATTTCTTGAGTTTTTTTGCTGCAGTACTTGCTGCCCACTTGATCAAGAAAACAAAGAACGAAGATTTCCCCATTTCTCCAAGACGTTAATGAGAGCAGGGCAAGCTTGATTTAAAAATCACTAATATTTACAAACTTTTGAAAAGTAAACTAGAAACTCACTGGTTTGGACAAAGTAGGAGACAGGAGATGGTATTGATCTGGGGCCATCAATTGGAGTTGTCTTCTCACTTAGAAAGAGTCATGGAAAATAGACTTCAATTATGAAAAAAAATCAAAAATGCACAACAACAAAACCCAGCCAACAACTAGCTTTTTACAATGGAGTTCTCTTCTTGTAGCTGTTTTACAAGCTTCACTATTCATTTTGGAAACAAAACCACAGAACACAGGGTAATGTGGGGACAAGGCTTCCACATGGAAAACACTGTAAGGGAAAATGCACATCAACTTCAGGCCAGCCAGCCTCTAAGAACTGTTTCTTGCAACCCTTATTTTTCTGCCAGCAGGCTTTTGGGGGACACAAATCTATAAAACAAGTTATAAACACAGTAAGTAATAGAGAAGGCCATATCAGGTGCTACTGTGCTTTTAAGATGATAAGGCTTCTTTCAAGTTTGCAGCAGTTAAGGAAAGCAATCAAGAGTTATTAATGTGCACCACCTTGGAGTTGCTATCTGGTTTCTGATCTAAATGGTGTTTGCGTTATAGCAACATTCATCAATTTCAAATTGTTCTCAGAGCACATGGTGTATCTCTTCTATCTGTACATGGGCATTGAGGCATTTTCCAGCCGTTATCATTATTATTGCCCTCTTTTCCACAGAAGCATCCAAGTATTTTTAACAAGTTGTCTTGAACAGTATTAAGTTTATGTGTTCCACTTCCTTATCCTATAAAATTCTTGTTTCATTGTATGAGTTCTGGCAGCTTTTGAAACTTTGTTTATTCATAATTTTTTCTATTTTTCTGCAAAACTATTTTTTTTTATGCAGATGATGCACCTATCACCTATGTAAAGTATTCTCAGTTTAACTGAAAATATTTTCTCCATACTTTCCCTGGTACAACCTGACACATGCAAGTTTGAGAAGTGAGCCCATGGTAATCTCATGAGTTTTAGCAAGACCAAGTACAAGGTGCTGCTAGCCAGTATCAACCCAGGCTAGGGAATGAACAGATCCAGAGCAGTCCCAGAAGGACTTGGGGATGCTGGAATGGCTGGACATGACCCAGCCTTGTGCACTCACAGCCCAGAAATCCTGGGCTGCATCCAAAGCAGTGTGGGCAGCAGGGTGAGGGAGGGGATTCTGCCCCTCTGCTCTGCTGAGACCCCACCTGCAGTGCTGCAGCCAGATCTGGGGTCCCAGCATAAGAAGGGCATGGCCTGTACTAGTG